TTTTCTCTGGGGGATATGTCTGTAGTTTCACAACATCCTCAAAGAGAAGCATGACTCCAGAAAAGTTAAGAACCACTGATCTAAAGAATTAGACTTTTTAGTTCCTTCAGGCAACCCTTTGTAAGCTGTTTCTCTTCTGAGCTCCCGAGAAGTGCTGAGCCCTAAGACTGTAGCCCCTGACAAGCATCTGAAGTACAGTTTCTCTCTGATGAGACTCTAAGCTTAACCACTGGCCAAACTGTTTGTCAAATGTATGATATAATAATATGCGACCTTCAATATAGTAATGCCTATAAGCATATGGAATACATAACAACCTGTTGTTCTAGATAGGTTCTAGCCATGAACACTGACAAAGTTGCTTCAAAGAATTGGTGATATTTCTTCAGATAATATGAAAATAAAACAAAACCCACCTTTGCCTGTGGATAAAAATTATAAGCAAGCACAAAAAATGTTCATAGGTAAACATTATGTTTTAATTTTTAAAATAAACTTCCCACATCACTTGATACAACCTGAGCTATTTTTTAACCTCTTTGTTGTTTTAATCTTTGTTATACAGCAAAATAATCACTGCCATAGCTTTAGACACACATACACATACACACACACACACACACACATATACACACATGTAATCAACCATCTACCCATACTATTGGTGTTTAGAATGTCTCAAGGGCCCAAGGACATCAAGTGAGGAAGCTGGCCTATAGGACCATCAAGACAAGGCTCTTTAAGATTTCATCCATCTAGAAATCGTGGCCATCCAGAGTCTGGTCCTTGACATAACAAAGCCAAAGATATCTTTCTCAAAAATACACAGTTGAATAGACTCGAGAACTAACTCATGCTAACCCAACTCATAAGAGCCTGAAGTACAAATAAGAATACCAATTTATTGCTGCTCTCCCACACTGCTGGCAGTATTGGAATAAATGTTCATATATGATTCAAAAAAAAAAAGAGTACCAATTTATTAATTAATCATAGAGAAGAGTCTTTTTAACCAATCTGAAAATTTATACCTGAAGCCAGGGTATTGCTATCCCAATATTAGGATACTGGGAATCCTGATTTAATAGTCAGTTCACCAGAAGTTAGAATAAAGAGAGATAGAGTTTGAAGGATACCTAATGAATGGTCCATATCCAACATACACACCTTTCTAGTAATCAGCGTTGTAGCTTTCACATGTATAGCCTCTCTCCTTGGATGTTGTTGCCCTAACACTGCAGTCTTTTTTGGTCTCTAAGTTTTCTTCTTCCATATCCTTCTCTCCATTGGTATTCCCCTAGACCAGGGGTGGGTAAACTTTTTGACTCGAGGGCCACAATGGGTTCTTAAACTGGACCGGAGGGCCGGAACAAAAGCATGGATGGAGTGTTTGTGTGAACTAATATAAATTCAAAGTAAACATCATTACATAAAAGGATACGGTCTTTTTTTTTTAGTTTTATTCTGCCCTAGACAGTGTATGATGCAACTTATGAGGGTACAGTCTGCATGCACTATTATTGTTTTTCAAATTAAAAACTCCCAGATAAAGTGCAACTTGCCCAAGGTCACAGCTAGTATAAGGCAGAGCAGAGATTCAAAGCTAGATGTCAAGCCAAAACCCATGCTTTCAACGTTGAAGTAAGGTTGTCTTTCCCAGGCCTCCCACCTCCCAGTCTGATTTAAATGCCCCCCTCAGTGTTTCCATATCACCCCATGTATACCATAGCTGAAATGTTTGGCATACAGGTCTGTCTCTGACACTACACTGAAACTTTTTGAGGATGAGAGTCACGTCTCATTCACCTTTGTATCCCTAGTGCAGTGATGGCGAACCTATGACATGCGTGTCAGAGGTGACACGCGAACTCATTTTTTTGGTTGATTTTTCTTTGTTAAATGGCATTTAAATATATAAAATAAATATCAAAAATATAAGTCTTTGTTTTACTATGGTTGCAAATATCAAAAAATTATGTGACACGACACCAGAGTTAAGTTAGGGTTTTTCAAAATGCTGACACACCGAGCTCAAAAGGTTCGCCATCACTGCCCTAGTGTGTTATCTGCCTTTCCGGGTTAATATGCAAACTAATCTGTCCAGTGGTTTCATATAAAAATCACTACACTTGCCCTAACTGGTTTGGCTCAGTGGATAGAGCGTCGGCCTGCAGACTGAAGAGTCCCGGGTTCGAATCTGGTCAAGGGCATGTACCTTGATTGCGGACACATCCCCAGCAGGGGGCATGCAAGAGGCAGCTGATCAATGTTTCTCTCTCATTGATGTTTCTAACTCTCTATCCTTCTCCCTTCCTCTCTGTGAAAAATCAATAAAATATATTTTTTTTAAAAATCACCAAACTGAAGGCCTTGAACTAGCCATGTAGCCTTAGGAAGGTCACAACTTCAGCCATCAACAAGCATCTCATCTAAAAATGGGATGAAATGAACACACAATGTGGCGTAGGTCCTTTCTGGATCTAAAAAGCACTACCATTTATAGACGGGCCCTGGTGGTTTTTTTACAGCCTATCTTATTAGTGTGAATTATTGGAAATAAAATTAGCCTCCTCGGTTACCTTCTGTAGCACTCTACAGACAGCATATATAGAAGTAACAGAGAGCTCAGAAAAAGCTTTCTCTTCTCTGAAAAAAGATAACTATCATTTCTACCAAAATCAAACAGTAGCACCCTCCTCTGGTGAATGTTAAAGGAGCTAAACAACACAAAAGGTAAGAAGCAGATGGTGGGATTTTCTTTGAAAGAAAGAAAAAGCAAGAGAGAAATTACCTAAAAATGTGACAATACTGATTATGTTACAAAGAGCAGGCTTTTTAATGTAAGGCAAAATAAAAAGCATTTCATAATTTTGCTAATGATACTCACTTTTCCTCTATTATTTAAAAATTTAATGAAAAGCCCTGTACATGTAAAATAGTTCTGGTTAAATAAAAGCACTTATCTAGTCCCTTCTCTGGGTGACACATTTACCAGAAGACAGTACTGAAAATTTCTCAACCAATTTGGGTCTGCAGTTTTCATGTTTTAAAATATCAATTTAGCCCTAACCGGTTTGAAAAGAAAATGTAAAATAGCATTCACTTACACATGCAGAATAAAACATGCCAACAGAGCACACCAGACCAGCCAAAGCCAAAGTTTCACAACATTAGCATTACATACAGACCTCTAAATTAAAAATAAAGCGGTGCTTTCTAAGACCAGGAACAGATTATATCATCTGCCAACAACTTAATTATAAAAATGTTTAAGAAATATAAGCTTTATTAAAAGACTTATCATAGTCTAGAACACAAAATGAAAATATAAACATTCTGACTCAAGGCAAGAAAACGTCGTATCAGTTATCATATTGGCAACCATGTCATTCAGATATGCTTTTACCACCCAAGTACACAGCATCTCTTCCAATTAACTTCACATCTTTCCCCCACCCTGTGACCCAGAGGAAAGGAACCCACACTACACAGGAGGCTCAAATTTACCACCAATGAGAAACCTTCATTTTGAAAGGCAGAACATAGAAAGGGCTAGGGTGAATGGGAAAGAACAAAAACTGATTTCAGCTCTACCAAATAAATTTCCCAACTAAGTTTGCCATTCCTGGCAAACCTGCTTCTACAAGGCAGGTAAGCTACAGTATCATGGACAGATTAGCAGAGTGGGAGGTGAAGTGACTTTATATCAGAGATAGAATGCAGATAAGATCACTAATTGGAAGCTTTCTCAATATTCACCCAAAACAAATGCCAAAGGACAAGCAAAGATTGAAAGAGAGTGACATCGCCTACAGCCCACCCGCAGATCAGAAGGGCTAAGAAGAGAGTTGGGGCAAAGTTGGATGGGAGCATGGGGTGTGAGGAGAGGGGGGAAATGATGAAGAAGGGGTGGGAAGAAGGTAGGGAGGACATAAGGGAGAAAGTATGCTGCCAAGAGAGAGAGAGAGAGAGAGAGAGAGAGAGAGAGAGAGAGAGAGAGAGAGAGAGAGAGCAACAATGAAACTGTTATAAACTGCCAAATTGAAAGAAATGGGGCGGCTGGCCCGGTGCTCTTTGGAGTCACATTTGCCACTCATTTCTACTGGGCCCATGCCCGAGGACCAGAGCCAATCCTCCCCGGACCTCCAGGAAATCTGAGCCCCAGCGCGCAATCAGGGTGCCGCAGAAAAGAGGGCGAGGGACCTCAACCGGCCTTCTAACCTCATCACATGAACCCCCAGATAAAGGCTTTGAGAAGCTGGGAGCCGTCCGCGCCCCACTTCGACCAGGGCGCAGGGGTGAGACCTGGCATCGCCACCTCCGCAAAGGCCAGGGGCATCTCCGGTCCCCGGCTGCAGAACCAGCTAGACACAGGCGGCCAGCAAGGCGCTGCTGTCAACTAGCCCGACTGCATTTGCAAAGTTAATGGAGTTGGCAAGAAGCGCGGGGATGTCCCTAGGGTCCCTCCTCAAGGCGAAGGCGATGGGAAGGAGTCACAGCTTCTTCCTTCATCCTCACTGAGCCCTCACTGACTCGGCTCTGCATTTTGTGTCTCGTTTCCCTAATGAGGATCAAAGAGATTTTCTTCCTTCTTTGTGCCTTCCTCGGTCTCCAACCCTAGAACAGAGGCGCTGAGACAGACCTCAGGCCAAAGTTCACTGTAGAAAACGATTAACTCTCCCCGCAAAACTAGCACAGTCATTTGCTGGGGGCTGGCCTTGAGAAACATCATAAATGATGAGGTACCATATAAGCTAAGGATGACCCTCCCTCTCCCAAAATGGACCCTCAGTCCCAAGAAGTCTGAGTCCAAACCTGTTTTTGGCAACTTGGAACTAGTGGCTTGATCCAACCTGGTACCGGGTCATCACCACACCCCTCGCACCCAAGTCCTCTCCCTTCCTCGCCCCCCACCCCAGCACACCACGTCCTGTCATTTGCACACACACACACACACACACACACACACGCACGCACATACAGCCCCAGAAAACTCCTACCTCGCCCCCGTGGCCATCGAAGATCCCGAAGATGGACGGGTGCGTCTTGTTGGCTAGGTCCGTCAGAACTTCGAATCGGTCCTCCATGTGGTCTCTCCGGCCCTGGATGGAATACACCGCCACGTTGTGGCTCTTGAACTCCCAGGTCTTGGAAAACTCGGCCTCCAAGACGTCGAGCCCCCCGAGCCGATCGTTCTGCATGATCTCTGCGACCTTGCCCTTCACCATCTTCACGGCGTCCCGGCTGGACTTGACGATGGTCTTCACCTCGTCCGTGTGGAAGAAGTAACTCCACAGCGCCAAGCTGATGCACAGCAGGAAGAGCGTCTCGGGTCTCAGCAAGAAGTAGCGCATGATGCGACCCAGCAGAGACAGCAAAGTCATTGTATCCTCTATCATTTATTATCGCTAGAGCCCGAACCGCCGGCAGCGACGCGCGCCCCGAAGGCTTGCGGGTCCCGGAGCACTGCGGGGATGGTCCGCCGGGCGGGAGGCGGAGCAGCAGCCGATGGCGGGGGAAGGAGGACCGCGGAGCCAGGCAGGAGGCACCCTACTCCGACCGGGTACGGCCAACAGCGGCAGTTTCCCTTTTGTCTCCCGGCCTCGGCGACCCGGCGGCCCGCGCCCAGCGCACGGACGCCAGTGCTCGCCGGCCGCGCCGCCACCCCTCCCTGCGCGCCTTTGTGAGGCGGCGGCGGCCGAGACGGCGGCGGCGGCGGCAGCAGCAGCAGCAGCAGCTGGTGCCCGAGCTGGGCGCAAGGAATCAAGTTAAAGTTGCGCCGGGCAGGTCTGCCTCGGTAAGCGGGAGAGTTCGGGGGCGCAGGCGCCCGCGCGGCCCCTCCTCGGATGCACCCTCTCCGCTCCGGGGTGCGATCAGCAGGTGAGGAGGCGCGGGGAGCGAGAGCCCGGCGGGCGAGGGATGCAGGTCCCCTCTAGGGCCGGCGCTGCAGGGGAGCACAGAGCCGGCCGAGTGCTCCGAACCTTCAGACACCCCGGGGGGCCCAAGAGAATAAAAGTTTTGCGGGAGCCTGAGCAGAGGTGGGGGTACGCGGAGCCCAGCGACGCAGCTCAAACGGCGCGGAGACGCAGGCGGCCGGCCGGCTCTGCCTGCCTCTCCCAGCACCTCCCAGCTCGGCTCCGCTCGGCTCCGCTCGCGCGCCCCCTCCCGACCTCCCGCCTCCCGCTCGCCCCGCCCCGCCCCTCTCCGCACGCGCGCGCCCCGCCCCGCCCCTGGAGCGGGGACTCCGGGCCGCGAGGTGCTCGGGCCGAGCTGTCAAAGGCTGAGGAAGCTCGGCGGCGGCTGGCGCGCTTGCAGCCCCGTGCGGTCCAGGCGAATCTAGGGGGAGCAAAGGGGTGCGCCCGCCGCCTAGCTCAGTGTACGGCCGTTCTTCCCTTCCGCGCGGGCTCCCAGGACAATGTAATCCTGGGCCTGATGGTCTGAACGTGGGTATCTCGGGAGCCCCTGCAGCCTGCTGGAAAGCGGAGAGCCGCACGTGAGCGTCCCCCCCTCCGGCAGGCGGCACAATAGTGCGGTCCCCGCCTCGCCGGGCGTAAGGCAAGCGAAAAGGGACGCACTTCTCCGGGCTCGCAAAGCGAAGCGGAGAGGATCGGACCTTGGGATTCGGTGACAGAGGCTTTCCAGGATCCCCGAGAGGCAAAGAGCGATCCGTGAGCTTTAAAGGAGAAAGAGCCCCCCGAGAACAGTAGGATGTGAAGAGTCGGAGCCCCAAGGAAATGCACTCTGATGACAACCTCGGGAGAGGCGAAGATGCGCCGGCCGCTCGTCCCTAGAACGGAGACTTAGCCGCGAAGACCCTCCTTAATCACAACCCTTCCCGGAGAGACACCGCGGTCCCGCGACCCTGCCGCGGGGCGAGGGCTCTGACCGCCGTTTGGGTTTGGAGGCCCCTGTGAAGCTCCTGCCACCTCCGCTGTCTCCGCAGAAGGTGAAGTGGGGGCGGGAGTCCTTCAACGAGCAGAAGTGAAAGACCGCGGAGAGGAGGACGGGCTTCCAGACGCCGTCGGGATCACTTGTTGAAATACGGGCAGGTGTCAGTGGCCTTGAAGATGTGGGGGAAAGAAGAGAACTATGTACAAACCCGCTTAGAATACGGAGAAGGGTGAGCGTGAAGGGAAAATAGTCCCTCTCGCTACCCCTGTCCAGGAAGAGGAGTGCTGATCTGCAGTTCCATCGCCCGGCTGGACGGTGGAGGCCGCCCAAGCACTCCTGCCTTGGTATGAGCCCCACTGCGTTTAAAAAAGAAGAAGGAATAAAATACTGGAAGGAAATACACCAAAATGTTCGTGGTGGTTAACTGCAGTGTTTTTTTTATTATTATTATTTTCTGCTTTGGACTTTTGTCTGTGTTCTACAACTTTTTCAAAGTTTTTACGAAAGACATAGATTGCCATCATAACCAGAAAAAAATGAAAAACGTTGACATTTAAACGGCATGTACAATATGATCTCAATTACATACACATGCATAGGAAAAAAAAACAGGATGGAAATATGGAAAACTGTTAACAGTGTGTTATTTCTGACAACTGCGACATGGTCACCTGTTCTGCTTTGTACTTTCCGGTATTTTGCACCTGGTAAATAGAGAAACAGCTTAGAAATAAATTAGGTCATTCTCTCCCAAATTCATAAGTTATAAGGTTCAAAAATGAAATATTGGGTTCAAAAGCCTTTGGGAACTATAAAGCAAAGGTAATGCACTAATGTTATTATGAAGATGAGTTTCCAGTATTTCTTACTGTAAGTTAGCAAATGGCTTTCGTACAGCCTCTCTGTACATGGTGTCTACGGCAAGAGCAATATACCAGATCAAGATACCAGAACTGCAAGTCAAACTAGGCCCTGGAATAGAATAATTCCAAACCTACAGGCCCATCCAGCCTGTCCATAGCATTACTTTTTTGATGATAACAGCAGATAGTAATGAGAGGCATGATTTCTGTTTCCACAATACCTAAATAAAGAAGAGAAAAGACCACACAAAAATTTTAGTAATATTTGTTTTTTTGCTAAATGGTTAATCATGAGCATGACTATTGAACTATAAATAGGAAAAGGAGGGCTTGACTTCCCCCCAAAAATCTAAATATTCTAAGGAGTCTGTGGATATAGTCTTTGATATTTACATCTGTTTCTTCATGTGAAAATAAGTAGAATGATTTTTCAAGCAGACCCTATCAGCATTTTCTTATTTCTATTAAGAAATACATGTCATCTACATAGTAATTTATAGATACCTAAAAAACTTTTTGATATAGTTTACTGTGAATTTTAATATATTTGAGAAATAAAAAAGACCTTCCTCTAGTGACAAACACTTGCATATTCCTTGAGATTATAAAGGTTTTTCATATATGTTTCCATTCTCATAACAAGCCTGTGAGGAGACCAGAGGAGCTATTATCTCTGTTTATAAATATGAGGGTAGTAGGGCACAAAGATGTTAAATGAATATCACAGTTCAGCAGATAAGAAGTTGGGAATTCAAGCTCAGTTCTGACCACCAATTCAATACTTTAATATATATTGATTGCCTGCTGATACTGAGATGATTAGTCTAATTTTTATACTTCTTTAGTAACATCTTAATAAATCTGTTACATAAACCTCAAAAAGAATACACAAGTTCTTATTCCACAAAGACTTTAGTCTTTGGGACAAGCACTATGAATATTTGTGTGGCAGAAAACAAGTGTAAGGTAACTTTCCTTAATCTCTACATAAAAGCCTAAAAGATTTGTTGCTAAATTAAAATATTATCTGAATTTCACAGGGAAGAAAAGAGTGTCATACAATATACATTATGCAAATATTTTACCATTACAAATGACATGATAATGAACAGAGCTAATTGCAATCCTAGGTTTTCATGAGCTACAAATAATAGTGATAAATCGTTACCAGGTAATTACCATTTCAACTATGCAATTAACTCATGTCAGCTTTGCACGTATATAAAGAACATTTAAAATAGCTTTTAAAAATAATAAATTCTCTGAAGAAACTTTCAGAATTATAGCTTTTGGGTTTAAGAAATCTTTAGAACAGAGTTTGATTACAAATCAAACAGAGGGAGACGAGGGAGCGATGTTGTTTCGAATACGATGTTGTTCCGCAATGTCCTCATTTCTTTTTTGGTTTTGCCATTTATTACAAAGTTGTAAAAATCTAATGTAAAGTGACTTATCAGCAGAGCTTCTTAATGATGAATGTAAATAAAAACCCCTGGATTTTAAATGAGCCTTTTAGACACAGAAATTCTCTGCACATTTTAAAATTTCCCATTTTGATTTGTATTATTAAATTGTCCTGACATCCTATATAATAAAAGGCTAATTTGAAAATCAACCAAACGATGGAACAACCGGTCACTAAGACGCACACTGACTACAAGGGGGCAGACACTCAATGCAGGAGCTACCCCCTGGTGGTCAGTCAGTGTGCTCCCACAGGGGGAGCTCCACTCAGCCAGAAGCCAGGCTTACGACTGGCGAGCACAGAAGTGGTGGCAGGAGCCTCTCCCACCTCTGCGGCAGCACTAAGGATGTCTGACTGATGGCTTAGGCCCGCTCCCTGCATCAGTCGGACATCCCCTGAGGGCTCCCGGACTGCGAGAGGGCACAGGCCGGGCTAAGAGACACACACCCCACCAGTGCACCAATTTCATGCACCAGGCCTCTGCTTATAAATATGTACTGAGTATTGAGTATGACTCTTTTACTAATACTTTGTAGATATACACCTTATGTGTGTATAACCTTTTAAACTATACATACAGGTGAAATAAATTAGTCAAAGAAAGACAAAAAATAAACTATACATACCAAAGAGTGTATGAAAGTATTTTTAGGAAGCACAACCCTAAATATTATACTCATAAACCCACTATCCAACCTAAAAACTGGATTGTGACTAATTTTTGTACCAGCCTAGGGATTCTTTTCCCATCCCACCTCCCTGCCTATACTCCACAGGTAGCCACTATCCTGCATTTTATGTTTTATCTTTTCTTATCTTTAAAAAAATAAGGTCATCATATGTCTACATCACTAAGTGATATAGTCTTTTAGTTTTGCTTGGTTTTGAGCTTTATAAAAAGGTTGTCTTGCCCTAGCTGGTTTGGCTCAGGGGATAGAGCGTCAACCTGAGGACTGAAGAGTCCCAGGTTCTATTCCAGTCAAGGGCACATGCCAGGTTGTGGGATCGATCCCCAGCTGGGGGCGTGCAGGAGGCAGCCAATCAATGATTCTCTCTCATCATTGATGTTTCTATCTCTCCCTCTCCCTCTCTGAAATCAATAAAAATATATTTTAAAAAACGGTTGCCTTACAGTATATAGTCTTCTGGTACTTTTTTTTTACTTGATATTATATTGAGTGAAAGATTTCTAGATAATTCCATGTTATTTCATGTAATTCAATCCTTTTCACTGCTATATAATATTCCACTGTATCCCTGTTCCATAATTTATGTGTTTATCTTTCTTCTATGGAGATTAAGCCAGTGTTTTGCTATTATAATCAACTAGAGGCCCAGTGCACAAAAATTTGTGCACTCAGGGGTAGGGGGGGTCCCTCAGCCTGGCTTGTGCCCTCTCGCAGTCTGGGACCCCTCGGGGTGACCACTTGCTGTCTTAGGCCTACTCCCCAGGGGATTGGGCCTAAGATGGCAATCAGACATCCCTCTGGCAGCCGGCAGCCCTCAGGGGATGTCCATTTGCCAGCGGGGAGCAGACCTAAGCTGCAGTCAGACATCCTTAGTGCTGCTGAGAAGGCAGGAGAGGCTCCCACCACTACCACTGTACTGGCAGCCATCAGCCTGGCTTGTGGCTGAGCAGAGCTCCCCCCGGTGAGAGCGCACTAACCACCAGAGGGCAGCTCCTGCATTGAGCATCTGCCCCCTGGTGGTCAGTGTGTCTCATAGTGACCAGTCATTCCCAGTCTTTCTGCTGTTTGGGTCAGTTTGCATATTACCCGTTTACTATATAGGATAGAGGCCTGGTGCACGGGTGGGGGCCAGCTGGTTTGCCCTGAAGGGTGTCCCAGATCAGGGTGGGGGTCCCGCTTGGGTGCCTGGCCAGCCTGGATGACGAGCTGATGGCTGTTTGCAGCTGGTCACACCCCCTTCAGGGTGGGGGTCCCCACTGGGGTGCCTGGCCA